AATAATAATAATAATAATAACAATTATAACAATAGTAATAATTATTATCATCGTCAGCAGTAAGGCTGGCAGTAAGGCTTTCTAGACGCAGCCAGGGGCCAGAGGGGGCCTCAGGATTTAATCTCTTTTGGACACATTATTACTAGAAAGTGAAAAGTCTAATAAATTGTGTTTATTAGGATATCGCAGTGTTTCGCTGAAGAACAGCTACAGCGAAGAACTGGAGTTGGCTTCGCTGCTCGTCCACATCGATATTGTCAACGCAAAGGTATTTTCCATCATCTCTTCTACTCGATAAAGTCATTGCATGGGCAAAACAGAAAATATATGGGAGAAATCGAGGATAGGTGAAAAAGGGCTTATAATATAGTGTGTATTTCCTCGTTCTGTCCCTGTAACTCAGGGGTGCCCAAACTTTTTAAATAAGAGGGCCACTTTAGTTCACCAGACTTTATAGTTTTTAGTTTAGTTTAGTCTTTATTTGAAGGGACAGTGTACAGAGACATTAAGCTCAAAGACAGATATGTTCTGCACCAGATTATAGCTAAACAGCTAGTTTCCATCTGCAGTCCCTGTTACATCAATAAAATGCATGGATACAGTAATGTACAATCCTAAAAAATAACTTTGCAATACAACACATTCTCTCTAATACAGACACACACATTTAGCCTCATACCTGTTTGTTAAAACCACACTTCATTCACAGCATCACACCTACACAATACACATGTCACAACCACACATTCAGATGAATGTGTGGTTCCGAAAACATGTAGGGGCCGAAAACATGGACTTAAAACAGGAATTGGTGCATTTTGAAATGAAGAGTGAATAATGAGGTGAGAAGTTTTTCTACAAATTCTTCTAAATAAACCTTTAAAAGAAGCTCAATTTTGACATCTTAACTTCTTAATAACTTTAAAGTGATAAGAAATAGAGGTTTTGTGAGAAATTATGAGCATGGCCCAAAATTGATTTAGGAATTACATGTAAATGTGCCCAAATCCTTTGTACATTATGACTTCATATGGTGGTGGCAATTGTGGAATTTAATGAAATATATTTTTACTTATTTTTTGACTGACAGACACAAATCACTAGGACACACACTGCTTGATACAATCGGTCATTTTAAACAGTACTTACAGTTTTTCTCTATTGCTTAAACACATTTCACGATACTGCCCTCCCTTTTCTCAAAACTCTAAACACAAACCTCTTTTCTAAAGCTACGTACACACAACAACACAGTCTCTTTTCAAAACCGACCCATCACACCAAAACAGTGACTCATATTCTCAAAACCGACCCATCACATCAAAACAGTGACTCATATTCTCAAAACCGACCCATCACATCAAAATGCCTCTCATGGTCTGCAAAAATGTGAACACTTTGAGCATCATTAACCACTTCACCAAAACAATTGAAAACACAATTTTCAGAATGTGAGACTGTTCTTTTTACAGTTTCACACCTGCCAGGATGCATTTGAGCAACACTTTTTCATTCTCCAATATATTTTGGCCATTTACTATAGATTTGTGAGTTTTATGAGAATAGTTACAAAAAGCAGAAAATGCAGTTATATCACAACTCAATGCAAACATGAGTAACTCCATGGATCCATTACACACAAAAGATACTACAGTACAGTAACAATTGAAAACACAATGTTTAGGGCAGTGCTTTTCAAATAGTGGGGGGCGCGCGTGACCGTGGGACACTTTTTATGTACGTGGAACTGGATTCCACATGCTCTGGTGCTGCAAGGGACTGATTCCCATGTGACCAGCGCGGACAGGACAAGTGCGGATCTTTGCGCAACCTGTGGACGCGCCTCTGGAAGTGTCCCCCATGTCTCCACCTGTCGCCCTGAAACTACAACTCACTAAATTAAAGCTGGGGTACCTACATGTCCCGTGCATACATAATACATGTTGCTCCTCTCCCTCCTTGACCTGCTCCTCTCCCTCCTTGGAACCTGCACTGACTTATTGTGTTGTGGTCACATCATTTGCAACAGGAGTGTTCAGTTCTGAGTGGTTGTGTTTACTGAATGACACCAGGTATGTTCATTGTGTTCAGGTTTTGCTGACAGTGGGAGACATTATTCATCACATAAGCCTCACAATGATTATAGGAGCAGAGATACATGCAAAAAGTGTTTTAGCAAAGGAAAAATGTGTTTTAGCCAAAGAAAAATGTGTTTAGAGTTTTGAGAAAAAGGGGATGGGTTTTGTGAACAGTGTCTACAGGAGAATTGTGTTTATGGTTGTGAGAAGTGGGGGGAAGTTTTAATAAATGTGTTTAGGCAATTAGTCATTTGGTTTACAGTACTGGGTTTTGTGTTGTAGCAATAGAGAAAAACTGTAAGTGCATAGCCTGGAGGGTTAAAACATTTGTAATATTCTGGTTTTCCGTGGTCTGCAGGAGGAGGACGATGAGAACCTGTACACGTCAATCCAGCGGTTGCGGGACAGGACCAGTGAGCTGTCCTCTCAAGTGTCTCTGCTGGAGCGATCGGGATCTGCAGAATTCCCGTATCAGCAGAGCGTAGAGGAGCTGAGGGCCGTCCAGGACCAGCTCAGCGAACTGGTGGAGACTCGCAACCGCAGGTCACACGCCGCCATTTCTCCTTCTTATTGTCTGTCCTCCGATGTTGTTTATTTGATATGGACACAACAGTGATATTGGACCGACCAGTTTTTTTCCCTTTAGTGTTAGAGCAAGAGCGAATATTCAACACTTGTCCATAGGAGGCTTTTAGGACCCACATGCACACATTTGAAATGCACAAATATAAACATAATGAAATGTACAATTAAACATGTGGACAATGTTACTCTGATGTGAGCACCAGCACTGTTTGCTTAAGAATAAACTCATTAAGAAATATAAAAAAAGATTGAATGAATTGATTAAACAAAGAGAGGAAGGCCAAGGATTCTTGTAAGTATTCTTTATCTATATAGCGCTTTTCACAGACCAGAGCGCTTCACTATTGTTGTGGGCATTTGTCTTTCACTCTACACAGCGATGGGAGCAGGTCGCCTACAGGAGGCACATGCCAGATCTATTCTATACGTTTTTATTGGTAGGGGAAACTGGAGTTTAGTTCAAGCAATTCTTCACTTTTTTCCTATGCCACATTTTTCCTCTTGGAGCTGTTAAGTTGGTGGAGCGTCCTAATGCTAGAAATAAAATTCCCAAATAAAAAGCATTGAGATTTTGATAAACAAAATATTAATACAGATTAAAAACATGTTCAGGACTGATCAGGTTTGCACTGATATATGTAGTATATTTAAAGTGTGTGCGTATATATAAAGTACAATAAAAAAGTCAACTGTATTTTTGCTATTTGGATTTTTTCTAACTCATATGGGGATTTTAAATGGACAATTTTACCTATTTACAATTTACAATTTAATCATATACCTAAAATAGATTTACAGACATACTACTGACACAGCTGTTGGAATAAACCACCGGGAGCTCTTGTCTAGTACTAAATGTTGTAGTAATAAATGTATGCTATTCTTTTATACTCTTCTAAAAGATGTTTTCTCTCCCTTACAGGCTGATTGAGAAGAAAAGGAGAGAGAAATTGAGGCAACAAATAGCAGCAAAGCGCAGCTAATGGTTTTGGCCACTAGAGGGCGACGCCGAGCTGAAGCAGATTTCTCCTGCAGCTGTAAAACTGGAAGAAAACTTGTTTTCCTCATACCAGAATGTGAAACTTTTTCTGGCAGGGGACTCAGAAAAATGCATCTCATGGACTAAAAAAAAACAATCCCAAAGTTAAGCTAATAACAATCATGAGGGTGTAGAGGGCTAGGATTAGGGTAGACTCTCCAAAGCTCTTTACGTAATAACTTTTATACTTTTTTATACTCGGATGAGATTGATGTCAGTCTGCACTTTATCCAAATGTGTAGTTCAGCTCAGTGAGTTTCAGTGTGGCCTCTTTTCCAAGAAATGACAAACAAGCTTCATAATCATTGATGTCTTATTGCTCAAAGTCAACATGATCTAAAAGAATATTCAATCTGCAAGTTAAAGTCTGCAAGTGGATCAATTATAAAACTGTTTTCTTCTTGGCATTTCAAACTATTATGTTATGGTAAAGCTGAACTAATGCTGTAGATCAGGTGTCTCCAACCTTTTTCAACAAGAGAGCTACCTGTAGGAGACAGATCAGGGTTCACTGGGTGTGTGTCTGCGGTTAATGTGTGTGTGGCTCCACAGCAGGCGGGGCTCACGGGGCAGGTGCGCGTGCACGAGCGGGGTTAAAAGTGTGCGTGAATCTGTCGGACAAGTGATGAGTCAGGGCTGAGTGGGTAGCCGTATTTTTTGTTTGTTTGCCTTTGACGTTTTGTTTGCTCACTTCAGGTCATATGTTACAGTTAATCATTTTTCCATATTTTGTTTGCTGCACTATTCAAGTCAGTAAATCATTCTAAAATTCAATACTGGATCAAGACTTCTTTAGCATAGGCTTCAAAACGTGTCTACACATTTACAGGACCCACTCAGCGGCTCAGGTCTACAAGAAGCCGCAACATCCATATTTCCAGTATCATGTCTGTAAGGTTTGTTTATAGCTCCTTCTATGCCTTTGCATTCATTTTTTTTTTTTTACACTTATATGACTTTGGATATAGGTCTTATGAACAAAATGGGTACAGATGTATCAGCTGATCTCATATAGTGGCCACTGCTCCTAAGAAAACAAATCAGACAATAATATTTGTTAATAATCAAAATAAATCAAAACGATCCACAAGTGTCTATTGTAGATTATAGAGCACAACATGTCTTTAAAGTGCAAATCTTAAAAACATCTTATTTTTCTCGGTTACTCTATTGTAGATGTTGGTCAGTGTAGCGCAGTGGCCTGTCTAATCCTCCAAAGCATCTCTTGTGCTGGATGTGCAGAGGCATGCTCCACGTAAAGCCCTGACAGCCAGGTATGGGCCGGATTCCACTGGAAAACCACTTCAACATTTGCACACTTTAACGGGATCTCCCAGCTATTAATACCTCAATATATACAGTCTATGGTTAATACCATGGTTAACACCATAGACTGTATATATTAACGGAAGTAGTCACGCCTATCTCCGCCGTTCAATCTAAAGGGCCAAAAATGGCTTTCATGGAGTGATTCAAAATGGCCGCGGGGGCTGGAAAATGTGAAAACACGCATCTGCGCATGTGTCAGCCGGCCTGAGCCCCATTCGTTTAAACGAGTGCCTTCAAAAATTCACAGCGAGTAAACTAGACTGGTCCAAAAAAAATCACTCCCCTCAGCATTGACACATGTGGAACAGACCCGTCCCCACTGGTTAATACCCGTCCCCCGTCCTGTTCCGCTTCGGTCGGCACTAGATCATATACGGAATCGGGACGAACCGGAAGTAAGAATCCTACTTTTGAATTAGTTTTAGACTAATAAGTCCTCATATGGTGACTGGTTAAGTTTTAGGTGTCTGGGTAAGATGGTTAAGGTTAGGGTTTTTTGTTATATTTATTTCCGCTTCCGTCCCGATTCCGTATCTGATCTAGTAATGACCGTTCCGTTTCCCTGTCCCGCTCGTTTGCCTTCCTGTTTCTGTGTCCTCCCAGTCCTTTTCTATCAGTGTCAATTGGTCCTTCATGCACCACAGGTGTGCAGTGTCCATGCCAGACTAGTGGGTGGGGCCTGCACTCCATCACACCGCACACAGTTAAAAGGAAACTTCAATAAATCATGCATTAATGATAAAAACAAACTTCAATAAAATCATGCAAGAAAAACAAAGGGTGCATTAAAAGGCCATGTCCCACATATGGAGTGATGGAGTGCAGAGGAAACGCCTCGTTATGGTCTTAGTGCCAGTGTGGACTGGACCTGAAGGTCAGTGCTAGTCTGACCGCTGTAGTTTTTACAAAATGTTGCTGTGTTTCTGAACATGCGTGAGTGTAGTTTCTCATATTTACTATGAGGCGTCTATCGGAACGTGAAGGAGTCAAAGCTGATCTGTGATAGTGCCATAAAGTCCACACACCTCTGACATGTACAGCTGATCCCCCACACGTCTCCATAAACACACAGATCGACTGAACATGACTCGCCACAGCCTCAGGCAGACTGACTGACTCTGCACTGGTCACATTACACTTTTAGGCTTATAGGACACTTATATACTATACATGGAGAAAGATCATTAGACAGCTTTCACATGAGGAACATACATGACATCATGATCACGATCCGCTTCATAACATGTGGCTTTGTAAAAACAGTCAGAGTTTGTTTTAAACAGATGGAATAAACCCAATGTGATATACTCTGATTTCCCTCACACGAACATTTTAGTTTTCCCACAGCAACACTTGGTTGACATCTGTTACTTTCTTTGAGTTTCTTTATTCTTCTTTGTCTTGTGTCTTTGGAGGACTTTTTGGTGACATTTGACTGAAAGCAGCACAAAAATCAAAGGCCAGTTCCTGACAATATAACGCTGCAATGAAGCTTGACACACTGCATATTGTAAACCAGGAGTTTTCTTCAAAATCACATTATTCAGGATTTTCATTCTGCAGATAAACAGTATGTAGACATCCAGCATATACTGTATAGTACTTTATTATCATAAATGTACATTTAAGTGCATAACAAAGCACTGTTTAGATGGATCCTTCAGCTGAACATTTGCCACATGAGTGATTGTAAATTGCTTGATTTGAGCGGAGGTGTAATCAGTAAAACAATGGGAACTTTTCCTCGTCACTCTGCTGACCTCGGACATCTGATACCCTCCTCTCTGCATGGGGTCCATCCCCAGAGACCGTCTATTTACAGTTGACCTGCTGTGACTGCTAGTTATGGTTATGTGAATTGAGCTTCCGTAGAGGAACACTGTCGAGACAGAGGAGAGGGATTTTCTTGGGAGGGCCCTCTGGGGTGACAGCTGTGATTATCCTTCTCCCAGCACTATCCTTTGGTCAACATTAAACCCATGGTGACAATAATCAATAGGGGAAATGGACAATTTATCTGCATTTTAAATTCTTAAACTAGAAATAATAATTTTAAATGTACTATTGCAATTTTCCATTAATTAAGGTAATAATCATTATTCAGTTTCTTTGTTTAATTGCTGGAAGTCTTATACTGAAGGAAAAAAGATTACCTCCCCCAGTTTCTTCACTGTGGTGGGAGAGTCAAAGAGTTAAATCAGGCTTAGTGTTTGTGTCTAAAGGGAAAGAGAAAGGAGGCGCAGAGAAAGCTGTTGTGCAGCATCACATGACATGGGGAGATCCCTGAGCTGGTCAGCTGACTGCCTTGAAACGCAGCCCGTTGCCCCTCACAACACTTCCCATAAATGATATTGCTGTTGCCGTGGCTTCACTTCCTAATGCATCCAGCAGCAGGAGCGGGAAGTGATGCCAAGTCTGCTTCCCATCTGAGGAGAAATCAAGCTCCAAACGGTTTACTGTATGAAAGACTATAGGAAAATAAATATAATTACAAAAACATAATCAGATTTCACTCAATCAATCAATTTTACAGTCATTTTACAGATTGTGTGATGCTTAGAAAGACAAAACACCAAATCACTGGTGTTTCTGATAAATAATTTAAGAGGCCTCGAATACAACGTGACTCTGTGTCATATAGAGTCATGTTGAAGGACACTTTCTATTCATCTGTGTTATATAAAGTGTCCTTATGGGAGGGCTTCCTAAGCCCCATTCCCAGTGCTTGTTTAATCACATATACAATTTACACACCTCATTACATTTAAAGATACAGCCCTGTCTACAGTCGAGTAGCTGGTATTGAGATTTTAATAGATACTTATTACATTATTGATTAGGTTTGGAACCAAATCTTCTGACATCTTTGTAAAATCCGTAGGTGGGGGGATTTAGTGTATAGCCTATCCCCTAAGGTCACAAATAAAATAAACAATCTCATTCTGGACAAAAATGGCTTCTTTCACCCCTCTCTCAAACCAATTCTTCTCCCGAGCCAGAATTTTAATCTCTGTGTCATCCACCGTGTGGTTGGAGGCCTTGAGGTGGAGATGAACAGCCGACTGTGGCCCACTAGAGTTTTCTCTACAATGTTGGTAAAGTCGTTTCTGTAGAGTGGAGGGAAAGAACAGAGAAACCAAACATGTTCAGAGAGCACTTTCCAGATGTGGCTACCCCAAGTGGTCTTTTACTAAAGCCCAAAGGACGAGAAAGGCCAGAGACACAGTCCTACAGACAGAAGAAAGTAGGAGGAGAGGGGTGTCCTTACCGTATGTGGCGGGAGTTTCAGAGAAACTACAAAGAATCTTTAGGCAACACAAAATCCCTGTGTATTTCAAACCTTTCAACACGTTAAGACAGAAATTAGTGCATCCCAAAGACAAAACACCCAGACACAAACAGAGTAATGTGGTGTATTCAATTAAATGTAGTGAAGAGGAGTGCACTGACCACTATATTGGAGAAACCAAACAAACTCTACAGAAACGACTTTACCAACATCGTAGAGAAAACTCTAAAATTCTGGCTCGGGAGAAGAATTGGTTTGAGAGAGGGGTGAAAGAAGCCATTTTTGTGAGGAAACAAAAACCGTCTCTTAACAGAGGAGGAGGGTTA